AAACCATATAACTCATACTCGGCATCCAATGTAATATTACACGTCATCTCACAAAACAGACATCCCACAAAACAGACGTAGCAGAAAACACATAATGGATACCCAGCAGATATGCCAATACAGAAAACACATTCTTGGGCACGCAACTACACACTCTGTGTCCGTCCTAGGAAACACGGGTAGACACAATATGAAAGCAGTCTTAAACTAACACCTCCAAATCTCCATTCCCATATAGCTATATCAGACCACAACTCAGAGCCTCTCTGAGCTCATAGAACTACTCCAACTCCAACTACTCGTGGCCAAAACGCTAGTATTCAACAGCCAATAAAAGTTATTTGCTAAGTTATTTGACTGGCATTTTTATCAGTATCACTAGACTGAGACAAACTGATTCAAATATAATTTAAAACAACACAGCAACATATAAATTAAACCACTTTCCAGTTAAGCTGCACACTTCACACATTATCACAATCCCCATTTACACAGAATAAACTGTTAACAGCTGCACTCAGAACATATTATTGTAAGGTATACCAATTTTAGTTTGTATTAGATTTATTTTAGGAATTCTTATGCATACTTTTTTTTTTTTTTTTAAATTAACGTCATTACTTTAATCTACTATAGTATTGTATTTAGAGAAAGGATCCATTTATATAGCGCGCTCATAACTCAAATATTTGTATGAAACTTCCATTAACTAATCTGAGATGATATTGCATCAACCTAAATCTTATAGAAATTGAGCAAACATTTGGACCAGATTACACAGACATGGTTTCACCAGAATCTTAGAGAACTCTCAGAGACTTAAAAAATGTATAGACCGGTCAGTCTCCAAGAGCCTTAGTAGCACAGGTAAAAACCTTTGTCCATAATCTCTGATCCAGGCTATGTACCACAATTTAAAAGAACAGAACACATATAATGTGAGACATAGAAGACACAAAACATATGCAGTAGGTGTTTACACTGGCTCATTTAAAGCATCTGTCGTAATAAAAAGGTTAGCTTAGAGCACAAAATGAAGCATGTGTTGGACCGCTGAAAATGTAAATGTTGCTCTCTTATTTAAAAACAAAAATCGTATTTACAGTATCGATCCTCTGCAACAAACACACAGGGCATGGAAGATGTGCTGATTGGTGTTCTATACAATTAATCCCATATGGGGAATTAACTTTCAAATACTAATGAAGTGACTTTTTTGTCTCAGTATAAAAATACTGAGCTCATCATGCAAACAATGCAAAACATTTACACTATCCCACTCTCATAGAAAGTGTAGTGGGCTTATGGAGAATCCTTGTTAGCAATAAAGACATGGACAAAACAAATGTGCTTTAACAAGATTCTCAGTGAGTATATTTTCAGGGCTAGCATATAAAGCAAAAAGAGTTAACCATTTCATATCCTTACAATCAGCACTAATGATTATAAACCTTATCTAAGCATAAAATACATATGAACAAGAAAAGTTAACTACTTCATATTTTTACATGGTTATTTCCCATTCCTAGGACAAATCTTTCACTTATTCACACTCACAACCAAACTTAACTAATGACAATTAGAGGGTGGACAAGGTGAACCTGAAACTCTGTGCACACTATCGTAGTATATTCACTTATATACTAAATTCTCTGTCTATATCACTTTATAGACTTCCTTTTATCTGTCTAATTCTCATATTAGACCTTCTCTAGTTCACTTACTAGAAATAATATATCTCTGTCTAGTTCTCTTACTAGACTAAATTCACGGGATCTTATAAAGACGGAGTCATATAAAATACATATACTAAATAACCTTTCCTAAAATGATGTAGACTTACAAAACCATGGGGATCATAGATTCAGGGCCTCAAGATAGACACAAGGAATTACTACTCACCCAAAATGGTTTGGCTACAATCCCACTTCTGACACCAAGCTGAAAGGCTAAACTGATGACTCGATCCCTTCTGGTCACGGTTCTCCAACCCTCGATTGTCACCTGAGCTCAGGGAAGAATTATGGAAGCAGAATAACGAGACAGACACAAGATTGCTTTCCAAAAGTCTTCTGACAATGTATTCAAAATGCTCTGTACTTATACAATATTTGTCACGAACATTGGTTACAGAAAGTTACACAAGATACATAAAAGAGAGAGAGTAGTT